CAAATAAACAGCCTTCTATCAGTGTTCTGCAACACAGACGCAACCATTTGTAGCTATGCACAGTAAACGGCTTTTCAGCAGAAATGGCTAGAAATACTCCTGGAATGGAGTCCAGAACAGCACCTAGAGCCAATTCCAGCATCGGACCCAGAGCCAATGGCAGGTTTATTTCTGGATTCACCTCCAGAACCATGCCTAGAACCCCACTGAGAGTCAATTTGAGAAACACCAAAATAGCTGCTAGACTAAAGTTTCAGCCTTATTGCCACAATCCCTTCTAGAGCCACTTCTGGAAACGTTTCCCTGCTGACTGACTGCACCAACCCAAGAAATGTATCTAGAGTCAATTTTAGAAACGTTTCCAGAACATTTTCTGAGGTTGGCTCTAGTTGTTTCACAAGCCATTCCAGAAGCACCTCCAGAACTATTTCCTGAATCATTTCTACAGTCAAAACTAAAATCTTGCCTGTGATTTTTAGCATTTCTTACAGAACAATGGCTTGGATAATTTCACCTTCCGATGTGCTACAGCACTGAGGCGATGGCAGATGCAAGATTTGTGTACACAGAAACCCGCACGGGTTTTCCATTCCAGCACCATAGCATAAACAATCATTACAATCTCTGTATCCTTTCAGCTTTGCTTCTTTGCTTCTGTATTTTATACTGAAAAATTCTTGACAATAGCTTTGTTCTATAAAATGTCTGTGATCAGACATATAGAATATGGGACTTTTGACAAACTACAGCTTTAAGAGTTATCTGACTACATAGAACCTATCTTGCAAGGCCTTTACAATGCATTTTATTTATCTTACTGAATAAAAACTAGCAAGTGATTGATCATGGTCTGTAAATATTTCTAAAAGGGAGCATGAATACTGAACTAATTAGAAAATAGAACGGGATCCAACAGCTTTAAACTGACATAAAAAATAAAATAAACAAGTAACTTGGAGATGGTAAGTCACTGCAACAGCATCCTACCAAGTAAAGTGATAGAATCCTTCAAGATTGCTTGAAATCTTCATGTCAAGATGGAAGTAGTGAATTTTTTTCTTTAAGTCAATTATTAAGCTTTATAGAAAAATACACTTATTTCCATTATGCAGATGATCAGAGATCTCCTCGCCTGGAAATCAAGCATCAAGAACCATGTCTGTACACAAGACAGCAGTAACTGGAACTATAGTAGTTCAGGCTACCACAGTAGTTTGTAATCAGAACTGTAGTCAAACCTCTACTTTCTTTCCAGGCTTTGGAAATGGGCAGATTTCTACTTCTCAGTCAATGGAGTTCTCTAACCAGATGCTTCCTGAGGAAATCAAAGTAAAAGAAAAATATAGGAAGCCAGTTTATTAGCTGTTGGTTTTTCAGCTAGCCATACATGTTAAGTTCTTATGAGGTACCCCAATATCTAAGTAATTTTAACCACTGTACATTCCATCCATGTGAGGAAGATGACTGGAACATTTCCTAAAGCATCTCAAGACCTAGAAACACATTCAAACAGTCAAAGAAAACTCACACTGCAACTCTGCAAAAACATAGAGGTGTTATCACAGACCGAGTTTATATGGCAACACCTCCACTAATATAAAAATATCCTACAGACATCTCCAAGATCAAGAACAAAGCACTCCAACTGCCTCAAGAGGCCCTCGGTCAGACTTAGAGATCCCATATTTCAACATTTCTCAACTGAAGTGATGAAATCTCTTGTGTCTTTTTTAATATAATTGTTAAGAGTTAGTAAGTTACATTTAAAATATATGAAAATTATATTCCCTAAATGTTAGCTTTGGAAATACACCATAACTCAGTTTAGGTTCAAAAAATATTCAATCAAAAAATTGATTCATATATCCTTGATGACGAAATATAGCATACCAGTACATTTGTAATAACTAAGAACTTCACTTGACATTTTCACCCTCTAACTTAACTACACTTGCTTGTGACACTTCTACACATTTCTAAGTTTTTAATCTCTCTCATCATCTGATAACTTAGGATGAGGTTACTAGTAACCACTCAGAAGGAATAATTTTTGTTATTTGAAAAAGCACCACTTGTACCTTTTCATGAAGAAGCGACAGAAAAACCCTTGATCACTAATATTTAAACCTTGGCTCATAAATGCCTCATTAAAGAAAACCAGAAATATTATACCATATTTACATGACAGTAAAGATGATGCTTTGGAACTGAAAATCCATTTATGGAATTATTATATTTGCATTTGCTGATCCTTTCCTAATCTCAAAAAACCCGCAGAAATTACAGATTAGTCTTTGCTCCTTACAATAAAGTGCTTTATGCAGAATCTGAAGGTGGTATATGTAACACAGAAAAATATCCTGAACTTGTGCAAAGCAGTTTGGAATAACACACTTCTCAGTATCACATGAACTTTAGAGACAGTTCAAATAATTGTGTTTAATATCTAAAAATTGTTCTGATAGTCAGCACATCCTTCTTGTGCTGCTTAACACAACTACATCTAACTATCTAGTAATATACTCCTTACAAAGAGCACTTCTGAAGTGACCAACTAATGGCACTTAAGCCCATTTCTACTTTTGTTAAGTGATACTAACTTACTAGGGAGATAAGCATAATTTGCCGCAACAATTCTTTCGTCTAACCTTAACATAAAATTCTACAAAAACCAACATAAAATTACCTGTTGCTTATTTGTCAAGACTGGTTTTCGTTAGTTTAATAATGAAATCAAGTCAATGTAGAGTTATAATCCTTTGCATCATTCTAACACACCAATGTCTGCAATTTAAGTTTTGTGGTGCAAGTGAGCAGCACCTTCGATACCAGTTTTACAGTGAATTTTTTTTTTCAACTGATTTCATAAAATTTTTCTTCACCTAAAAGAAAGAAAAAAAAAAGAATATATTCCTGAATTCATAGGTTAGAAAGCTGACTGCTCTATAATTCCCAAACCCATTGTCCCAGTAAGCATGTTTATTTTAAATGCACCTGAAACTAACACTCCATAATCAGTCTTCATTTATACTTCGAATATCAGTTCATTACCTAAACTTGCAGAGAGATAAGCTTCCAACATAACGATTTTGCATAAGACATCATTGTCTAAACATATTACATAAATGGTGAGGTAATCATTAATTTATATAGTAAAAGACAACACTTAGTAGAGCTACCACTAACGTGGTACTGACCCAGCACTTCTGAATCAGACATTTTAATATCATTAACAGTATACTTTTTCATAATTTAACAAACGAGAAAAAGAAGGCCAAAGTGACTTCTGAATTAGGTGCAATAGCACTGTGTTCAAACCCCATATTTTATTATTCCTTCAGTTACATTTTTATTCAATAAATACCTAGTTTTCATGGAATACATCATGCTAAGTCTTAGATGAGTAGCACAGAGAAGTTGGAACTAGAACTATAGGAACATCACACTAAACAAGATGAACACTGGGCCACTGGATGAGACATTTTGCAACATTTATATTACACAAGTTTCAAACAGTGATCTCTAGGTAAATGCAAAAGTTCCTTTTTTTTTGTTGTGTTTTTTTGTTTGTTTGTTTGCTTTTTACAAAGAGGGATTTAACACAAGTACAGACTTATTTCACTTGCTATACAAGGACTCTGCCTTCAGAACTGTGCAAACTTGCATTTCTGAAGTTATCTTCAGAGAATGATGATAACACAAGCTGTTTTTCCTTTCTCAAACACTCATTTTCAGGAAGTAATTTTAAACAGAAAATCCCGAAACATTCAGTTAGATCACCTTGAAAGATTTAACCTTTCAACATCATTTTATGAATAGCTCTACGTTAACTTTTTGTCCACTTGACTAAATATTTTATGTCTGAACATTTGGGGAACATGTTACCCAATTTTTTACTGTTTCCTCTAAGAGCAGACAGAGCCAGTATCTGTTGGAAGATGTTCAGATTCCTCTCTTTTAATTGCCATGCACCAAACCCAGCCTTTTCGAATGGGAAAAATAATTCTAGGTCAATTTTTCAATGTACATAATCAGACAACTGCAAAACAAACTTCTGGCCTAATACAAAGTAGTATTCAGAATTGTATCCAGATCATTTGTGGCAAAGTGTGGGTAGAAAAACATGGTGGTGATTAATCACCAGGCACCTATGATACAGAGCCTATATCATGCTTAAATTTGTCAGAAGTGACATTTCTATGGCAAAACTGAAAGGCAGTAAAAGAAAGACTACTTACTATTTTTATAATACTGAATGACAAATCAAGTGGGTGTGGAAGAACCTTGTGCATACCATTCAAAAGTGATTTTGGTCTTCCAGTAGCTATCAGAAAAATGAAATTAATTGTATTTTTCCTTTTTTAGTTAAGGAGGTTGGACAAGTTGGAATTTTACAGAGTATCTTTCTACGTTTCACATGTACTCAATCAGGTTACTTTGTACCTATGATGAAGGGAGAAATTAACACAGAAATCAGAGTCTGTGCAACCCCAGAAATGAAATGTAATCGGCTATGATTCAAGAGTAACAACATATATTAGGAAAGAACTTGTAAAAGGAGCAGCTGTTGACATTATTTCCTGAGCCAAACCTTTTAAGGTGTCAGTGAATAGCAGTCTGTACTTTCACTTGAAAGCACTACAAGAATTGCTCGGATGATGTCTCTCAAGAGTTTAGGAGTTTAACAAAATCCACAACTTCCCCTGAAGATCTCAATACTATGCTTTTAAATCTGTACCAGAGTGATCAAAGAATGCTTCAACACAGAGCATAACAAATACAAATGGCGTTACTTAGAAGGGCATTTTAATGTACGTACAAATACTAAAACTTTATGTTGAACTCCCAGGATCATTTGCAGGCAAGAAAATGACAACAGATAAAATCATTTTGTGAATCTGATCCAGCTCTACCATACAAGACAGATGCCAAAAATAAAAGCTTTTTTTTCCTTTCAGGAAAAAAACCACCTTAAATGTACAACTTCGGCAAGCTCCCAAGCTTCGAAAATTAAAAGAGCAGGTGGATTTTAACTGAACTTCTCAATCTCATGAGACATTATTTTCTTTCTCCTCCAACATTTCAGGATGCTCCTCAAAAGACAGGAAAGAGAATGAGACACAAAAGCCATTTCTATTCAGTCTTCTTTGTGCAAGGTATCCTGGAAAAGTCTGCATTCTTGTGTAAATTTGCTGTTGAAACAGAAAGGAGATTATTTTAAAATGTGTGCAAATATATGGCAGCACTTAGGCTTCTGTTTTTGAGAATTAGTATAGAAGAAAGAAATTTGGAAATTACCTGCATGCAAGTATTTTTGCTAACAATACACAGTACCTTTAAGGAAAAACAAGAACCAAAATGCTTTTACAGACAAGTAAAGTGTTCTGATAATTTTGATTCCAGCTAGTTATGCCTTCTTTCTCTTAATATAGATAAAAATAATGAACTGAGAGTAATCAAATAGCCTACAGTGTTTCACAATATCTGAATAACTAGCTAGTAATTGTATTTCTACTAAGTTTCATATCTGCTTGTAGCGTAAAAGCTGAAAGTATAGTTCTGCAGTTTAGAAACAAGAAGCAGCAGCAGCCAGGCACTGGAATAAAATAAAAAGCAATTTTCATAAAGTCTGTATGAAAACATATGCATCTAAAAGAAATGGGTAATCATTTTACACTGAACAATGAGAAAATTGTAGCAATCTTTTTATGATCTAAACACGGTTACCTGCTTGAACAATCTACTTTTCTTGATGGAGGGCTTCTATGAAGGCTTCAAGTTTTTCCTGGATTTCCCGAACTTTTTCTGGAGGAATTAAAAAGATCACCATTCAAATACCTACTACTTAATGGAGGACATGCCCAGAAAGAAAAAAAACCCACAAAACCAAAACACACAACCAACCTGCAAACATGAACAAAAACTAATGCTGTATTAATATTACCCTATGCATTTAGTTTCTCAATTACTAAGATTTAGAACATTTTTCTCCATCAGAAGACTCATAGAATGGTTAGAGTTGGAAGGGACCTCAAAGATCATCTAGTTCCAACTCCCCTGCCAGGAAATAAAACCCTGTCCCACTTGAAGAACTTCCACAAACATATTTTATGATTACCATGCTAATTTAGTAATTCAAAAGTTTACCAAAAAAATCCAATACTCGAAATGTTGTATTTCAAAAAAAATGAAGTTTCCATCAGATCATGCACAGCAGAACTACTGTACACCTGTTACCTGTACGGAGAAGTTATCTTTTAAATAATGTTCACTAATCCTTTTCTCTTTTAATCAAATATCCTTATTGTCCACAGCAAGTGTCACAAACAGCATTAATCATTCTAAAAAGAGTTGAAAGCTCGTGCCCTTTCAGTGGGGAGAATTTCAGGGAATCAAACATGAAGATTCAAGACATCTATTCAAAAGGTCATGCACAATGTTAAGAATGTTTAAAACTTGCACTTTATTTTCTTGTGTTTCAGTAGTAACAAGACAGATGCAGGCAGAATCTTATTTTATATAAATACTAAAGCTGAGAGTTTATTTCTCTACAGAAACGCAACTTGAACACAACTACTAAGAATGAAAAGGCAACATTGATGGGGAAAAATTCAGGGATTTAGGCACTGTTCCACACTTTTCTCAATTCCATACAACACTTGTCATCATACAACCTATTTGATCTATTAAATTGCTTGTGAAGCAAGATTTAGAACATAGCTGGAATCCAAAGCCTGCGAGATTTCCTGCTTCTCTCTCACCACATCCTTATTTGAAGTTCCTTCTGTGTGTGATTATAGCCACGAAAAACACACACTTCAGAAATATGAAGAAACAGAGGGAAAGCAGTTGGACAGACAAAAATAAGTTAGATGAGCATAAACACAGGCATTTTTTTTTTCCAAGCCAAAATTACTATTGGATTAAAGCTGTGTGTTCCTTTGTATGAGATACAAGGTTCGAGCTTTTCTTTATTTTTTTTTAATCTTTTATTAATGTTTTCTTCTCTTTACCAATACCATATGTTATAAACTTGCTTTGCTGAGCTGAAATAGCAGCAGAACAGAAAGAAAAAGAAAACAATCAGCCTTAAATGGGACACATAAGCATGAGTGGGGGAAAAAAAAAGACCTCCAAAGAGAATGCTCTAAGAATTTAGCTAAATGAACTAAAAGTTTCATCCAGTAACAATGAAACAATCCCACAGACAGTTATGAAATCCATTTTAGAGTAATTATAACACTAATGATAATAATAATAAAAACTCAACACAATGCTGTAGTCTTGTTCTAACAGAAGCAGAGAATTTTAGGTAGCATTTGAAATAAAATATGGAAAATAGCCTGCACGAGGACAAAGAAATCTCAAACTTATATTTATCATGCCGTTCTTAGGTGATGAAGGGCAAGCCACTTGTACTTTCAACACTTCAGTGTTCCCTTCCCCAGTGGTGCTTATCTCAAACACAGATATACAGTCAGGCTGAATCACACTCTGGGTCTTAAAGAAAACACCAAAGAACTTCCTTGAATTTCAGTTGATTTTGTTTTTTTAAAGTACTTTAATATTAAATGAAGACTGCAGTCAGTGTGAGGGCAAAAGGTGTATCTTGGAAGTCAAGAAACAGCAGTAGCTGGTTCTTACCAGGGAATAAATAAATAAATAAAATCCTCGATTTGGTTCAG